TCGGATATGACTGATCCAAAAACAATGCAGCACATTCGATAAGCGCATACATACATACATTATAGAATTTTTTTCTAAGAATTTTTAACTATTAAATGGGTTACTGTTTTACTGTTATTTTCTTGACTTTGGTCATTTTGAATTACAACTTTTAGTCCTTTAATTCATTGAGGCCAAGAAAACATATAGCAAAGGGTAGAGAGGTAGAAAAAAGCATAACACAACCCGCCTACCAAGCGTGGCAACTACTGGCAAAACCCCCCTTAGGGGGAGGCCTATATTCAGCAGTGGACAGATAACGGCTGTTATAATGATGAAACTAAACTCATTTGTTTCTGGAGTAATGACAGCTATGGATCATGTTGATTTTGTATAAATTGTCTGCATTATGATTATACATTACGCAATTGATAAAAAAATGTGGCAAAATTTGTAATGCTTGAAAATATAGATATTTCATATAAGTATTGAAAATATTTGTTTTTAGTAGAATTTACATCACAATATATTATCAATATAGTTGTTTGCTCCGCAAACGAAAACAGCGTCTTTAGTCATCACAAAATTCACATTAAATCAACAAGGGGATAACCCTATTGATTGCAAAAAGCATTGTGAAAATCGCTTCAAAAATATTGACGTAGTCACGTAAACAAAAAATGACATAATTGAGGACCTCTTTTTTTGTAAGACTTTTAAAAATAATATCAATATCTCCAAACCCCAATTTTTACATCCCTGGGTACTAGTTTGAGATAATATAAACATATTTTATATTCCTATACCTTCTTAATATATAAAATCCCGTGTCACGCTAATATCCGAAAACATTTTTTTTTATTTGACTCGAGAGATAATATAGTTTTTTATTCTAGTAAAAAAAGATCCGATAGATGGCGGTACGGATAAAACAACGTTTACATACCTACCGAATTAACTAGTTACGTTATAAAAAATCATCGCACGTAATTACAACCGCCATAAAACAATGATACCTGCCGGACATATAATAAATCACCGTGGCGCGCCTCGGACTATTGTATTGTATTTATTTCACCTACAGTCCACCCATCGAACAATGGAGATGGGAAAAACTATTATAAGCCGAGGGGAAAACAATGTTTGTCCTATGGCTTAAGACAGAAACTATCAGCTAATACCAATTTCGATTATATTGAAAGTAAACGATTCAGAATATATACATATTGTATTACACAAATTTATATATCATAAGGCAAGAAAATTATATCGGAGTATATTATACTATGAAATAAATATGAGCGAAGCGATATCAATTTACGGAAATACTCGCTAACACGACTTTGTCCGCGTGACCAGGATATGATCACTGACTCCGGTCAAATTTATTCCAATAAAAAGTAGCCTATGTCCTTCCATTACATATAGTACATGTATACCAAATTTCATAGTTATTTATAGTATTTTAACGGTTTAGCATTAAGCTAAAATAGTATAAGATAACAAACAAACGTACGTCACATTTATAATATTATTAAGAATAAATATATTTTTATTATCATTTATGGTAGCATCAGTTGAGAAGACAAAGTAAGTAAACCATACGCCTGATCTTCTTTCTCCACTAGTCATCACCTCACTGCTGAGTTTCCTAATGTTTCTGACCAAACTTTTGAACAAACTCTATCCATCTTCTGTGGTCTTTGTCATATTGGAAGATATCGGATGTGTTTTTAGTCAGCTGCTTTTTGACTTGGTCAGAACGTCATATTTCATTATCGTATTATCTTGTATACGGAGTGAACGGATGTGTATAAAAGATAATCACACATTGTGAAAAGTACCAGGGAAGACCTGTGTCCAGCAGTGGATTAATGAAGGTTAAAGTCATAATGATTAACTTGTATTGCTTTGAAATAATCTAGTAAGATCAATCTTTGATTTTATTTATTTATTTAAATAATTTTATTGGCCAAAATAAAATAAGGTACAAAAGGCGGACTTAATGCTGCTAGCATTCTCTAGCATAAACCTTTGGGATGAAGAGTGAATTACGAACGCGGTACTTAATTATTATTATTTTAGATCAAAATTATTAGAATCAATTAAGAATTGTCGATATAAACGTGTAATATACGTGTAAATAAAAACTATACTTGGTTTCGTTATAGATCAATCGAATATTATGAAATTTAGTATACATGTTTTAGTTGAGATGAAGAAAGACATGCAGCATTATGTCATGGTCAAGCAGACAATGCATCACCATGACATAATGCTAATCTAGACATAGAATAGGCCACCCTTTCCTTTCCCGTGGTTGTCGTAAAAGGCGATTAAGGGAGGACAAAGAATCGGCAGCAGCGTCCCTCTTAAAACATTTCCAAAGCCTAACTGCGGTTGCAAATACGCCTGCCAAGCGTGGGAACTACTGGCAAAACCCCCCAAGGGAAAGGCTTATGGTTCAACAGTGGATAGTTAAAGGCGGATATGATGAAATTAACCACGCCTCAACATTCTTTCCATTGCCTCTTAGTGACATTTCCATGTTTTGATGTATCAAAGCTCAAGGGATATTCAAAATGGCGCCTGTTGAATATTTATAACGCTGATTTCAATGGAGATCCTTTGATGTCATTTTAATTTTTATTTAAAATATGTAAATACGTTTCACAATTTTTGCTGAGTGCTTGAAATTTTTCTATTCAAGACCGTACCAAAGCCTTTTTATGTGTTGCAAAAATAAATGTCTCCTCTCCTAAAGATAAGTTTTGAATTCAAAGCTTATGATAAAGTATTTAAACTGTAGAAGCTTAAATTATTATACTTTAAATTGATCGCGTCTAATTCTTTCAAAATAACTCCTTTTATTATTATATTTTTTTACATATTTTTTTTCTTTATCAGCGACTTTTTCCACTTAACTGGGATATATTGATTGAACGTTTCATAGCTCAGTTTTGGAATATTCAATATTGTTTGTAAGTACATATAGAACTTAAGTCCGCGCATAACTATTAAAATCTTTAGCACATCTCCTGAAGAACTATTAACTACTATTCCATCTTAATTCGTAAAAAAGCGAACAAAATATGTCAAACTTGCGCCATACACCGAAAGAAAAATAAGTCTGCAGAGTTACCTCGGGGCGTTATCATTTCGTAACGGTTCCCGCCTCATGCTTTGTTGGTTTGACATGGAAGTTGATGGTAAATTCATTAATAATAATAAGTGGGAAGTTTCCTTACACCAGCCCTTCAGTAAATATGAGATATATTTTTGTAATTCTGTATGGATCGTAGCTATATACCTATTATATAGTATCTATAATATTCTAAAAATGAATTTAGATATGAAATTTAGATTTTATCCAAATAAAAGCTACAAATAATGGACGCATATGGACGTATCCGTCTAGGCTAATAGCAGGTTACTAGTAGAGAATCGAACTATGAGGATAAAGTTAAAATTTGTATAAAAAATAACTTAATAACAAAATTAGCAAGGCATCCTTTCTGATTAAACAAAAATACACATTTTGTCATATAGACGTACCTATCTTCACGCCAAGTAGTTTTCACTGTATTTCTATGTAGATTATATATACACAAATATACAATCAAATAATGTATCGTCCCAAACGGCGCTTCAATCGATCGATTATTCGATTCTTAATCGAATGTCCACACCTCGCGGATATGAAGCGATTACATGATTATTAAGTTGGAGGGCAGTTAGTGAACTTGTCCTTGCACTCGGCTTGAGATCACGTACCGTCGCGAATCAAGAGCATAACCGAACAGTGATCTAGGAGATCATCAAATTACAGATAAAATATTGTGTATTTAAAGATTTGTGTAGGCCTACCAATCAAGAATTTATAACAGCATCCAGTCAAAGGTGGAAAGCAGTGCGGCGCATGAGATTCCTTCAAGTAAGTGCACGTACCTTCTTAAATATTGTAATCGCTTCATCCTCATTATCAGAAGTAAGGACAAACGTATTTCCACCGCTTAACGGTGTCCCTACATTCTTTTTGGTGCCGAAACCCGGGAGATAAATCTCGTAATATCTAAATATCGGCTGTATAGATCATTATCGTTGCATTGGGACTTTACATATTCCGATTACATATAAATTAATACTCATATTTATTAATTTCGTTATATTTTAAATCATATTTTATCATTAAAACCTTAATTAGAAATCGGAATTCACATTCCTGAAACAAGTGGGTAGTCCGCGCGGAATTGTAACTTTGCCATTGCCAGTGCATTGAGTAGGCTTAATTTTACTAATTTATAGTGATTTATTCGTTCCTCCTAGTTTTCATTGTATCGATGTTTAATGTTTATGTAGGATCATAAAAACAATCTTATTTATATCGGTGTTTTTATAATTTATCGGCTTACACGAACATTAAACGTAAATCGTAATGATCATCCATCTATTGTCTAGGTATTTACTAATTTTGTGAAATCATATAAGCAATCTCATTTAATTCGTGCTTATATAACTACTTATCGGTTCATAATAGTTATTGAATACATATTACCATAGGATAAGTACTGTAATATTCTAAGTCTTTAGTGAACAAAACAAACAGACAAATTTCTTATTACATTAATAGTGACTTAATATTAATATTTTCATCGATTCTGTAAATTTATTCGTTTACAAGTTATATTATTGTAAAATATTATTATCAAAAGGAATTTCATTCGTAACTAGTGCATATTTTAGTAATATTTATAGTGAATTTAATATTGAAAACATATAGATATATATAAATAAACTTAATATCTGTTGTGGAATTATAAATATTCTATTGATAAAATATTCTCGTAATAAATTCTGTCTACATAAAGTTCCGTTGACTATAGAAATTAACATTTACCCTCAAATTATTAATATTTTTTTTATTTTTTGTTTCGATTCTCGAACAATCTCGAATCTATTTATAGACTTGTTCTTCATTGTTTAAATTTGTAAACAACTTATAAATTGATCGTTTTTGCACGATGTCTGTTAATACAAATAAACGTAAACTTAGTCTGTCAAAGCGCAGTAAATCGAAGTATGAAGAATACACAACTCGTGATTTGCCATCATTAAGAAGAAAACGTACTATCGCGTTTAATCGTTTATCTAAGGCATTGCAAATAGGCAATGACGCGAAGTTAGATGCAACTAAGTTGGATTTATTTTTATCGTACTGTAATGAATTACAGAAAATTTCTACCGATTTCGAGAATGCACATCTCCTTATTCTGGATTTACATGATGATTCAGAGTCCGATGATGAGGGTGTTCGTGAGAGTTTTGATGATATGTATTTTAATGTTCTAGCCTTGCAACGTACATATACTAAACCTAAGGTACGGAATGAACCGGAACAGAACAGTTCTTCACATATAAAATTACCCAAGGTCACTCTTCCCACGTACTCAGGCAATATTAAATGCTGGACAGAATACATAAATACATTCAATTCTTTAATAAACGAGAATACCTCATTAAGTAATTTGGAAAAATTTCATTATTTGAGATCGTCACTCTCAGGCGATGCTTTAGCGTTGATACGAGCCTACCCTGTAGCCGGTGAATATTATATCGACGCATATAACGCACTAGTTAATCGTTATAGGGACAAGCGTGATTTAGCGTTTACCTGTTGGCGTGAAATTTTAAATGTGGAATTTAAAATTAATAACGTAAAGGAGTTTCGTCGCTCACTAGACATGATCGATGAGAACTTAAATATATTACGACAGGTAAATTTACCCGTTCAAGAGTGGGATTTTGTTCTTATTTATCATCTATTATCGAAACTTGATACTAAGACACGTCGTGAGTTTGAGGAAAAGTATTCACATATCCAAATACCTTCTTATAAAATAGTTAGAGATTTCTTACACTCGAAATGCGAAGCACACAGTCGTGATACACACTTTACCGACTCAAATAAACCGCATTACAATCATCATGAATCGTCGAATACTCATGTCGGTATGCATGCAAGGCGTGTAAATGTTTCTCACACACTCGTTGCAACTAATGAATCCAAGGGTACTAGTGCATCATCTAGTGTTGCCAGCTCAACAAAAGGTTGTCCATATTGTGGCCAGGCTCATTCGATTGCTTCATGCAAATCATTTATCGATAAATCTATTGACGAACGCATGGCAATAGTCAATGACAAAAGATGGTGTTACAATTGTTTGAAATCTTCGCATCAGTTAAAAACTTGTGCCTCTGTATTTACCTGTCAGAAATGTAAGCGTAAACATCATACTCTGTTACATAAGGACACAATAAAATCGGTCAATACTGCATCATTATTGACACATAACTCGAGTGTCAATACAACTGTGCTGCTAGCAACAGCGATTGTTACGGTAAAGGACCGTCTCGGTAACATTCAAACTTTTCGTGCATTGTTTGACACTGGCAGTCAGAATAATTTTATTACTGAAGAAGCAGTAAATCGTTTGAATCTTAATTTAGTTTCTTCTTCTTACTCAATTAAAGGCTTGGGTGACGTGTCGGCGGCAACTAGCGGTATAGTACGCTGTGTAGTTGGAAGCTTATCGGCAAATAACACTGAAGTGTCATTTGAACTTGACATGCACGTCATTCCCAAGATCTGTTGTGATCAACCCATTGCGAACTAAACACTTTTGGGTGGTCACACATCGAATCATTAAATCTAGCTGATCCTGGGTTTGACATACCCGGCCCTGTGGATTTGTTACTTGGTGCAGACGTCTTCGCGGATTCGCTCCTTACCGAACGCATTAAGGGCGGTCCATCGCAGCCACCAGCATTTAATTCAGTGTTTGGTTGGTTATTATTAGGCAAAACTTTGTTATCATGTTCATCATTGGCCGCGTTGCAATCGAATGTTGAATCAGAACGTCTTGTGAAATTGGTTGAACAATTTTGGGAACTCGATAGTGTATCACAAGCTAATTCATATACTCCTGAAGATATTCTTTGTGAGAAAGAATATGTCGCAACCACAACTCGAGATAAGTCTGGTCGATATGAGGTATATTTACCGTTTAAAAACTCATGTGAACCTGTTTTCATGGGATCTCGTGAAATAGCGGAGAGGCGCTTTTATGCACTTGAACGGCGTCTGTCTCGGAATCCTGACCTAAAATGTCAATACGTTAATTTCATGCAAGACTATATTCAAAGCGGTCACATGTCATTAGTACCTGTTTCAGAAAATCGTCGCGGTAAATACTATATTCCGCATCATTGTATTATACGGCCCGACAGTCCTACAACACAGCTTCGCGTAGTGTTCGACGCATCTGCGAAGGATAATCGGGGTAACTCTTTAAATGAATCTCTATGGGTTGGTCCGAAGTGTCAAACTGATATTACAAGGGTTCTTTTACATTTTCGGGAACATGCTATTGTTTTCATGGCAGACATACGCCAAATGTATAGGCAAGTTCTTGTTGCTCCAGCCCATAGAGAATACCAGCGGATATTATGGCGGTCTAACTCAGACCAACACGTATCTGAATATAGATTAAACACCGTAACTTATGGTGTTTCTTCGGCTCCCTATCTCGCTTGTCGTACTATTCAGCAGCTCGCGAGAGATGAAGGGGATTCGTTTCCTCTAGCAAAAGAAACCGTCACATGCGATATTTATGTTGATGATATTGTTACTGGTACCAATACTATGTTCCAAGCTCGCGAGTTGAAGTCGCAGGTTATCGCTTTGCTCAAATCTGGCAATTTCGAATTAAGAAAATGGGCTAGTAACAAACCAGAATTGCTGGAAGAAATTCCACCAGAGCATTGTCTTGTAGAAGCTAAATCTTTTATCGATGCACAATCTTGCACACTCAAGGTTCTCGGTCTTAAATGGGATCCACTGCGTGATTCGTTTGTCTTTCACGTGCAACCTCTTAACAAAGTTTGTACCAAGCGATCCATATTGAGTGAGGTTAGTCGCATCTTCGACCCGTTGGGATTTCTTTCTCCAGTGACTATTCACATCAAAATCTTAATCCAACAACTTTGGGTAGCTGGCGTAGCATGGGACGAAACACCACCTGACAATATTGTTCGTATGTGGACAAATTATGTACAACAGTTACCATCCATTCAAAATTTAATCGTACCCCGTCGTTGTACTGTTGATCACGCAATATCGTATGAGCTTCACGGGTTTTGCGATAGCTCGGAGAAGGCCTATGGCGCTGTCATTTATTTACGTGTTACAGACAATAGTGATCGTATACATACTTATTTTGTATGTTCCAAAGCTCGCGTCGCTCCTTTGAAAAAACTAAGCTTACCACGTCTGGAATTATGTGCAGCAATGCTATTAGTAGACTTATTAAAGTTCGTAAAGGAGACATACATGCCGCGTATCAATTTCTCTATTACTCTTTGGAGTGACTCGACTGTTGTACTGTCATGGCTCCGAGCACATTCATCAAAGTGGACTACATTTGTTGCGAACAGAGTTAGCCACATACAAAGTATAGCGCCTATTGATCAATGGCGACACGTTTCCACACATGACAACCCCGCAGATATTTGCTCACGAGGCCAGTTTCCTCAACAACTTGTTGATAATACTTTATGGTGGGCGGGCCCCACATGGTTACGTAAACCACACACCGAGTGGCCATCATCTTCTTCATCTATCACTGACATTGATGATAACATAATATCTTCGGAGATAAGGCGAAACACCACGTTATTAATTCAACAAACCGCACCGATTAATCCAAATCTCGATCCTTTTTTAGAGGAATTACTCAATAGCGATCTATCATTAGATGCTATTATTGATAAAATTGCCTATGCAGTCATTCGAAAATCTGATACTACAGATTCAGTGTTATCAAGCGATGAGCGACACCAATCACTTCTTATGCTCGTAAAATATATTCAATCCTTGTCGTTTTCTATCGAAATTGAGAAAATTCGTTCTAGACAATCGTTGTCTAAATCGTATCGTAAGCTCAATCTATTCATTGATAACCAGGAGGTGCTCAGGGTGGGCGGTAGGATTTCTCGCTCTGGACTCGAATACGAACAGGTACATCCAGCATTGTTACCATCTAATAATTTGTTTACATCAAAATTAATTCAATCGGTTCATTTGAACAATTGTCATTGTGGTATAAATACTACACAATACTTAATATTACAACAATTTTGGATAATATCGGCTAAACGGGTCATTCGACGCTGTTTATCGCAATGCTTTAATTGTTTTCGACTTCAACCTAAACCGTTACAACCTTTCATGAGTGACCTTCCTAAATATCGCGTAAATCAAGTAAAACCTTTTTCTGTGGTAGGAATTGACTACGCTGGCCCTTTTCGCATTAAAACCGGACCATATCGTGGAGCTAAAATAGACAAGGCCTATCTTTGTTTATTTATCTGTTTGGCTACGAAGGCTGTTCATTTGGAAACAGTATCCACTCTTTCTACCGATGGATTCATTGCCGCCTTACGCCGTTTTGTTGCTCGGAGAGGCAGGTGTTCGACAATACATGCGGATTGTGGAACAAACTTTATCGGTGCTCGCAATCAACTAGTGTCTCTCACCGAAACTGCATCTAAAAGTGAGCGAATTGATTTTAAATTTAATCCACCCTCTGCACCGCATTTCGGAGGTGTCTGGGAGATCCAAGTGAGAGTGGCAAAAACACTTTTATATCGGGTTGTAGGTGACCAAGTATTTCGTTCGAAGAGCTCACCACTCTTTTTACTCAAATCGAAGCGGTCATGAATTCGCGTCCCTTGTATCCAATGAGTTCAGACCCAAACGACTTCCAGGTTTTAACGCCAGGGCATTTTTTAACTCTCGAACCATTGACGTCCGTTCCGGATACGGATTCAACTCACGTTAATATCAATAGACTAGATCGTTGGCAGTTAATTCAGACATTTCAACGTTCTTTCTGGAATAGGTGGAGGAATGAATATTTACATACATTAACCTTACGAGCCAAATGGACGAAAGATTCCAAACCATTAGAACTTAACTCAATGGTCATTATCAAGGATGATAATCATCCACCTCTGCACTGGCAAATAGGAAGAGTTGTAGAATTACATCCTGGACCAGATGGTCAGGTTCGTGTAGCCACTATAAAAACGGACAAGAACAATTTGATCAAGAGACCTCTAGTAAAGCTATGTCCTTTACCAAATGAACCATTCTAGTAAATTATTCTCGTTTATCATATATTTATTTATTTAATTATATATTATTATGAACAAGTAGTGTATGTATCATATCGTTGTATTCAATCTTAAGTTACAGTATCGTTTTTGTCTTTGTTAAGAAAATTACTATCGAATTTTGGTGGGCGGAATTATGTATCGTCCCAAACGGCGCTTCAATCGATCGATTATTCGATTCTTAATCGAATGTCCACACCTCGCGGATATGAAGCGATTACATGATTATTAAGTTGGAGGGCAGTTAGTGAACTTGTCCTTGCACTCGGCTTGAGATCACGTACCGTCGCGAATCAAGAGCATAACCGAACAGTGATCTAGGAGATCATCAAATTACAGATAAAATATTGTGTATTTAAAGATTTGTGTAGGCCTACCAATCAAGAATTTATAACAGCATCCAGTCAAAGGTGGAAAGCAGTGCGGCGCATGAGATTCCTTCAAGTAAGTGCACGTACCTTCTTAAATATTGTAATCGCTTCATCCTCATTATCAGAAGTAAGGACAAACGTATTTCCACCGCTTAACGGTGTCCCTACAAATAATCTCCTATTAAAAATACTCCATTGTTTTCATTTCTCGGCGTAGAGATTGATATATTTTCATTATAATAGAATACTTTGCTATAATTAATCGCGTTTAACCGTCATAGAATATTTATTAATTACTCCTTCACCCTGACCGCAGACCGCTGTAGCGCATGCAAGCGCAAGATCCTCGCGTGCTCCATTGTCAAGGTGAGCCAATCGCCAATCGCTGTACTCAATTCTTCCTTGCTCCCATTTCCTATACGCTAAGGTCGCACTATAAACAAATGATAATTATAATATTGTTATTGAGATATAATTTACCGAATCGAAGTGAAATTGGTTTTACTAGTAAAAAAATGGTATATTGCAGTACACACAAGTGCAATTTTAAAAGTAACAGGCGTACTCAGTACTATGCTTTATCTATGGAGACATACATTATACTAGAGAGCTAAGTGCAAACTAAATGAAAGTCGCCAGTTACACTAATTATAAATGGACATTGAAAGAATACCTTTTAATATTTTAACAAAAAAAGACGCTTTTAATTCACTAGACCTATTTGTCTATGATTTTAGACAAAGAACGCGTCACTTGTATAATTATTATAGTGGACAAATTAATTTTTCCTTCCCTTTTAAGACATGACAACCAGTAATATGCGTGTTAAATTTATCAACAGTAATGGAGGTTTTAATATTTTAGACAACATAACGGCCCATATAATTATTAGATAGATAGATATTCTTTATTGTTTCTTCCAAAAGATTACAATAGTAAACTTAATATAAATATAAATAATTAGAAGAAATAATCACAATGAGAAAACGATGGGCGACCTTATCGCTAAGAGTGATCTCTTCCAGGCAACCATTGGATAGAGAAGAGTTTGGTGGGAGGCACGATGAAAAATTTTAGTAATTACATGATACAGAGACATAACACTCTCAGTCCTCTGGAATGGCAACATAATATTCTTCATGTCTATAAGCGACGGTTACCACTTTTCAACAGATGGTCTGTTTTGTTTGTCATACTAAATTGCATAAAAAAAATATTGTTAATATTTATTCTAAAATTGGAATCCTTTGGGAGCATCCTAAGATGTTAACGAATTTCAGAAAAATTAATATAATTAATTAGGTAAAATATATTACTTGATAGAATCCTAAGTTCATAGTCATGATAAAACATTAAGTTCTATTTCATAATGTTGTTTATTTATAAGATTATTGATCGCTATAGTGTTAGTGAACCCAATCAGGTATAATGCATACTTATAAAATCGTTTGTCCTGACTGTCTATCTATACAGAACCAAAACTACTAAGTCAAAAAGTAATTTACGTATATAGTAAATCTGTAGCAAATTAAATTTTGAAACAGATTTATTATTATATATACGTAAATAACTGTTAAAAAAAGGATTTTTGAAAATATAAACTTAAAGTAGAAACGTGTAAAAATTGTAAAATAAGATTTACCGAGTGTATTTGTGAGGATTGTTTTTTTTATGCTACTTAGAATAGCAAACAAATTAATAGCCCACCTGATGGAAAGTGGTAACCGTCTCTTATACGAGTAGACATGAGCAGCACCAAGAACATAACAGGGTATACTGTACTGTTCCCCCATGCGTTACCATTCTTGAGGACTCAGGTGTTATTCCTCTGTACCCTGTAAATTTACTGCCATACCCCACCCTACAAACCGAAACACAGCCATGTAAACACAACTACTTCACGGTAGGATCACGAATGGAACAGAGATATCCAAGCAAACGACTTTTGTACAAAGTCTCTGTCTGGTAAATGTATTGAAATATTTATTTTTATTGTAATTAAAAAACACTTTTGTTTTTTTTTTATTGAAGTAATAAAATAAACGGATATAGTAAAATTTTAATAAAAGATCAAAGGATCAAGGGTAAATTGAAAATTCCAACAAAATTACGCGTCGTACGCCTCCGTAAATATTAATCGACGCGCCTTATCTTAATCGATGCAGATATAGCTTAAATATCGAGAAGCGATCCGCCGGCATTATCATCACGATAATGCCAGCGTAGTTAGCGTACGTTAAGGTAATGTACCGGAACATTACTGTTAACAGATGCTACTGATTCGTAATAATATTTTACAAGCTGTCGTTTGAAGATAATATAATAAGACTTTGGCATATGGTACTTTTACCTCGATCACGCAAACGAAGTCGCAAATATAGATAAAAAAAAAACTTGTTGCATCCCGTGTAATGTGAATTAAAAATTTATTTATATTTTTAATTTATTATTGACACATCAGCCGTTAACTGTCCACTGCTGAACATAGGCCTTCCCCATAATCCCTTATGGTTTGCTCGTAGATACCACATTTGGCAGGCAATTTGGCAACCTCAATTAGGTTTTAGTGATGTTATAAGTCTAAATCTATTTCAACCCCGACCACTCTAACTTGAGTGATTGACTAAAAAGAAAAAGTACTTTCGAACAACAATTTTCAATATTTCTGATTAATTATTTATTAAATATTTGGATAGTGATCTAGAACGTTAATAATAAAATCTTTTTCTATTAAAATTCTCAAATGCTTTTTCACGATTCTAATCCAAATTTTCAACCATGAGCTTTGAATGAAAATTTGGATTATGATAACAATTTTATTATATAATTGACATTTTAATTAATTTATTTATTTGTATACACTTTATTGCACCAATTATAAAAAAGTGATACAAAAGGCTGCCTTGTCGCTAAGCAATCTCTTCAATTGATTTACTAACTGAGTACTTTTTGAATAAGTAACAAGATTGAAAACAATTCAATATACATTTGTCAAAATATTTATTCTGAACTATTTTCAACTGACAGTTAACTCCGGCGTATTCATATTTCGCTATGAAAGCACTTAGTTGAAAAGTCACCGACATAGTATAAAAGTATTTTAATAAAAAGAGAATTTCAAAATCCTCTTCACTACCCAGAGATGGAAGTTTTACAAAATCTTATAACCACACATTTACTCCATTCAGAAACGTAACTCGACTTAGCCCCTTCAAAGTTTAAACTGTTTGCTTACACTGTTTTATATTTCAAACCAGCTCCGAGTTAAGTCAGTGCACTAGACAAAGTTTCCCTCGCGTATGCACGTGAAGTTACATGAATATTTAATTTCCAGCTTAACCTGTCCAGTTGTGTATTAGTAAGCAACAGGTTTTATAGTGTATTGTAATAAAATAAAAATAAATATTTCAAATACACTGCACGTAAGATTTTTTACGCAGCTAAAATTTGAGTTTTGTTTGGCATAATATTCGCAGCTACCTTTTATCATCGCTCGCTATCAAAGAGGAATTCAGCCTTACACTCTGAAATCTAAACGATCGAATACAGCTTGGTTTTATACGTGTTTTAACCTCTTTCGCCTCCTCTACATAGATCAATATAATAAAAACAGCTCTCTTAAAAAATCTTATATCAGTTAGGGTAGGTCCTAATTGTAAATAAATATTAAATTCAAATCACGCACGAAAAAATAGTATGAGAACTAATCTATTAAAAATACTGTAATCCCAGTGTAGTAATAAACTTTATTGCCTATTTATTCCATGCACCACATAACGCATCTTAATACAGTATCCCACATACTATATTAGGAATATATAGATGGAGGGGGTGGACGTGACATGTAAGCTTAAGTGGACAAATTGAGTCGGCATTCGATCCTAAAATGAGGTTATGTTACGACAAAGCAGTGACGTAATAGTCCCTATAGACTTTATTTGACGTCAATAGTTTAATTAGTATTACACGGAGTCGTAACAAATGGAATCTATTCGAAATTATATTTAAAATAGATGATGTGACATCATTTTATAAGTCCAAACTTTACAGACAATAGAGACAGTCTATTATTTTATTAAAAAAATCCTATGACCTATTGCTTCCATCATCAGTTCAACTTCTTCATAACATATTATCATATTATCACTGAAGTTGTGTTTATGTCCCAAATTTCAATTTAATATATGATATGCGCTTGTTAAATTGTTCACAATAATTGCACTGAAAATGAAAAGCTGAACCGAAATACATACATTTGAAATACGATGAATAAAAACATGAAAAAACCAATTCTGTATATTTTAGTTAAAAAAAATACGCAATTCCAAATATTTACTTGCTGTTTTTTGAAATTATTTCTCATAATAAAAGGTTATTAAAATTTAAAAAGTAAGCAATTTTCTTAATTATAAATTCTCAGTAATTGATTACAGCAAGTTACTTGTAGATAAAAAAAAAATGTAACAAAAGCTCCAAGTAGTTTCAAAGCCGTTCCCAATTCTGCAAAGTAATTAAGGTTTTATTTAAATATCAACTGATACGGATACAATACAGAAAAATAACAGTTACTTAAGCTTTTCTTAGAAAATCTTTAAAAATCATTTCGTAGAA